CGTGCTTGTCCCAGGAAAGACCTCATGACTTGTGGTCCAAATCACAGACCTGCCCTTGCCACCATTAACACCAGAACTCTTTGTTCATGCTGGACCGGCATAGAGAAGCTTTCTCCTAGAGGTGACACAGCCGTGGCCTGCCACCAGGATGCAAGAGTGCGAAGCACTCCACAAACCCAAAGGGCTTTTGCAAATCTTAGGAGCAGGATGTGCTGGCAGCTGAGTAGCCATGAGTGAAGAACAGAGAACACGCATACAGCTTGGACACTTTCCTGCAGTGCTTCACCCCCAAGAACATCTACAGTGCCAAAGTGCCACAGGTGCCTCTTGCATGTGCCTTTTGGGGATCCAGCATCCACTGCTCTAAGCTGTCTGTCTAGTTCACATGTCCAAAAAGGCTGCTCTGCTACAGCAATAATTTATCACTCCTTGGAGTTGATGGGCACCTCCTCAACCAATGTAAACAGAGGCACTTTTGATTACCGATGGGATATGCCACTTTACAGAGGATTTAGCAGGTTTCTCAGTGGGCTTCTCTTTTACAGGAGCACAACAAGTAGCGTCCTGGTATCTCATGCTAGTACCTGTCATCAAGTAGGGAAATACATTTTCAGAGATTATTTCATGTTGGCATGCTACATGAAAGCTTCAGAGCAATGAAAACTCTTCACAGCAAAGTTAACTCTTCACCTGCTGTACAAAACACAGGCCACCAGCACAAACTATGATGTAATCTAGTAAAACAAATTAATTTTGGGAGTCTTTCAGATGCTGTGAAGGAACAGCAGACTTTAGGTGGGCTGCTCTGCATTATGAATGCTGCGTGTTAATACCCAGATGTCGAATGCCAACTTTCCATTCACTGCTGTAAAATAACAAACTGTCATGTGGTAAAAATAACCCTGGGAGGCATGCAACACATTCCAGCACTTCTTTCACCTACAGCACACTATCAAAAATTTGTCTCTGGAAGTCACTGGGCATCTGTATCAACGGTATCCCAAACAATCTGTGTTTTGGTGATTTGGAGAGTAAGTTTAAGGAAAATACTTTTTGTTCATTTTAGGATACAATTTACCTCAAATCTATTTTAGCTGCAGGAATCAGGAGATCACTTTTTCACTGTGTGGCAATGGAAAAGAGACTTAGAAATATCTGCTTTCCTTAACACTGACCTTTAGGAGACGACAAAACCCTAAACTAGATTTAAAGCTTCTCTGTGTGTAAGGAGCATGTGCCAAGAGACACCCTAAATCCATGTCTGGTTTTGCTCTGCCATTGATGCAACAGTACCGCCAATCTTGCAGTGGGCTTTCAGACATTTAGTGATGCAGCAATGTCCTTCCATCTTTCCCACAACTGACAGATTTCCAGCCCACTCAGGACTCAATGAATGTTAAATAAGGGGACCAATATTCTTATTAAGTCCACCGGACGTTCTTTTTTAAAGAAGTGAAAGACACAGCACCAGTACCAGAAATTATTTACATTTCTTATTTTGAAGACTCAAGCAAGCAGGACTGCCGGGAGTCCAGGACTAAACTTGCTTCAACATTGCTTATTCTCCCATTTCCACTCTGAATTCTTGGGTAGAAAGACCATTTCTAGTTTTCATACATTTCAGAATCTCTAAACAGACTAAACTAATCCCAACTATCAAATGATCATTCTGTCTGTAACCCACTCTTACACCATTCATATGCCTGCAACTTGCCTTAATCTTGAACTCCATACAAGTTTTTTTAACTTGTATGTGAATCTTGTGCTTCTGTGTCCTCCTGTTGGTAATTATGAGCTTAATAATAGTATTTAATTATTTGTATCTCATTCTTTGGTCAGGTTTTTTTTCTGGGTTTGTGATGCAGGTATTTTTTCAGTTGCTTGGCATGAAATGTACAAAAATGCTGACGAACGTTGGAATCTTTCTTCCAAATGCATTTGTAGATGAGGGAGCTCATTAAACCATTACACTTACTCATGTCTAAGTTTACTCTTATGCACATATCCTTGCAAGCTATGTGCTGAAGTATGTTGTTTCTCATATCATGATAACACAGAAGTCTAATAAATAAACAGTCTGTACACTCATGAATTTTTGTTGCCCCAGTTGAAATTAAACACCTCCCAAACAAAGGACAACTAGTTACATTGTCTTAAAATCAACACTACAAGCACGTGTACATCTTGCAAAACATCTGATTTTAGTGGTCAATTCACTTAAAACTGAATAAGGAAAAGCATTACTCAACTGTGCAAAGCTTCCAAGACCATCTACAAACAATCTTCTGCTTGTAGAGATTCAGTTCTCTACCTTTCTTTAAGGTAGAGATACTTGCCTCCTTTGGACTCACAGACCTATATGAGCCTACATGAATGTTAGCCTGGTCTCAAACACTATCTCTTTCAGTTTCCTGTTCTAAGTGTCACAGTTTGCTCAGCTTGTCAGACCTACTGTTTACATCTGGCCTGCAAATAGAGATGGGTACTTCTCTTGTGCCATGGCTGTTCATGTAGTAAATGCAGATGTATGAGAAAACAACCTTCCTGAGTACTTCAGTGTAAGCAGAAAGGGTGCCTTCTGGATGACAATGGAAGAGGAAGGGAAAAGGACTGCATGTTCTGCAACTGGATGACTACATGCTCTCCATTGTTAAAAGTAGGGGTACAGGTGCTGGCTGACTGCAGAGGTTAGACATTGGCCTTCATGGGTAAGCTTCACCCTGTTCCCAGATCAAATGTAGAAGACTTTGTGTATTTTCCAGTAGGGACAAAACCAGCATGTGTGTCACAGACTTTTTCACAGATGTTTTGATGCTGCAGACACTCTATGCTTGCACATACGATGCAGTGTGACTAACGAATATGCAAGATCCACGGCACAGTGGTCATACAGTTCCCTGGTGTCGTGGTTTAAACCCTAGCCAGACAGCTTGTTCACTCACTCACTCAACTCTATTTCTGGTCTTGCAGTAGTTTTCTATCCTCCTAGTTAGCCAACTTAGTCTGTCCTCTGTTGCCCTCTTTGAGAAGAGCTGGGCTGTTTCATAGTGGTCCCTTTGGATAGTGTGTAGTTTCAAAGGACGATTGGGCCCTTGCAAATACGAATATATGAATAGTGCCCCTGCAGTCCTCCCTTCTGATTCTTTCCTGGAAATTCATACTGGAAATGCAGTGCACAGGCAGCAAAAAAAAAATCTCTTCAGGATGACTCCATCCTACTTCACTCCTCTAGATGAAGTGACTGACATCTTCTCTCTTCTTACTTCTTCTACAGCCCTTTATCTATCTTGATGGGCTCTGGATGTGTCATTTTGTCATGGATGTAAGTTGTAATTAGACTAATGACCTTGACACCTACTGTCTTATCTCTACAGTTCAGGTGTAATATTTTCTCATTTAAATAAAACTGCTTTTTTTTTTTTTTTTTCTGTCTTTGGAGTTCCCTTAGAAAGGTAACAGGGAAGTCAAGCATGCTAATGAGGTTGTCAAACAAATGTGTTTTCAACTCAGGAGCAAGCAGCTGACCTGTCATTTGACAGGTAAAGTGGTCACAGCTGAAGACACATTACTTCCAAATATTCAGAGATTTTATTTCATGGCTGTGGTTAAGGAATAAAAAAAAACCCAAACAAACCACAGGGTAAAGGTTTTACACAGGCTTTCATCCTACACTTTGGACTAATTAAACAAAGCAGGTTTTGTTGTCTTCAATGGTGGTACTCACATAGCTGAAATTAGACACATGCTGATGTGTTTTGCTGGTTGGGGTCAGAGTACTTAGCACACTGGAGTATTCAGCACGAGGTGAAGTATGTACTATAGAACGTATTTCTGAAGTTCAGTCCATGTTTTGTTCTATCTACTACATTAATTTATGGAGTAAAAGATCAGGTAGCATACAAAATCTAAAAAATAAATCTTCACTTTCTTGCTTTATGTTACAACAGATGTAATCAAACAATATACATTCTCAGAGTGCTTTTAATTGATAGAAATCACAGAGAACAGTAGCATGAAGCAACTCTTACATTCTGATCTATTATCTATGCTGATCTATTACTTTTACACAGAAGCCATACTGTCATCCAAGCTTAGAGTGGGTCTGATTCTGTATATCCCCAAATAAGCAATCTTGGTGAATTATCTAAGAAATTTCACAAGAAACCTGCCCTAAGGCAAATTACGTTCACCACATACTAGGCTAATACCTCAGTCCTTGGACTATTGGTCCTATTTGCTTTTCCCTGTCACTTACAAGCCTCAGCAGACACATTTATAAAAGCTGGGGTACCAAACTGGACCAATTCTTACCAATTTTCTGCCAGCTGAAAAGAATGGAAATTCATATAGCCCTAAATGGCAGAAGAAACAGTCCTGGAATTTGTCCTGTGGTGGATAAAAGCATTCTCCTTATGAAAATAAAGGAAAAATGCTTTTCATTTACAGACCATTGTTTGTAGGAAAACAAACGAAAGCACTCAAAAAAAGACGAGTATCAACTAGACTGCAGTGGGAAACTGATAAAAGCAAATAATTCTAATACCCAAACATTTCTTCATAAAACAGCAGATATTTGATCTGTCGGTGGCATCTGCTCTTACATTTCAGAAATTCATTTGAACCAGTGAGAAGTGCCAAAGAGTGACACCCCTGTTTGAACTCTGTTTGGCTGTAGGAGGTGTAAAGCAATGGAGAATCTCTCTAGCGTTGATCAAATCATACATGTGCATCTGAAGAGGGAACTCAGCCCTCTTCTAGCTCCCTTGTGAGAGAAATCCATAGAAGTCCATTAAACCCAAAGATACCATGAAGGCTCTATCTTGCACTTAGTGGACATTTGGAAACAAATCCTGGGCACATTTGGCTGTATGTGTGCCTACCTCCTTACACTTTCCCATGGGCAACTGCTGTCAGCTACTGACAGAGATGGGGACCTGGAAGGTCTCTAACATTAATGGAAATGACTGCTCTGACATAAAGCAAAGGAAAATTGTCCCTACCTGTATATGTTTTCTTCCAGCTTTTTCACCTTCAGCTCATCCTCTTCTGACTGCCTCCTTCTGGCTTCTTCCTCTTCTGCAGAGCCAGCAGGAACTCCCTGTAGCAGCCATTTTTCCCGAAGAGCTTTTGACTGTAAGGTAAAAACCCCAGAATCTTAGGAACAGGCTGAACAAAAACCATCTGAAGATTGAGAAGGAGTGGCCTCTGGTTCTGAATATTAGGTTGTCCCTACTGGATTTCTGATCGCTACTTTAGACAGTCAGTTTCAGCCGATCTATCAGCTGTTTATCCTGATGTTTTACAGTATACATTTTATTTACCATCAGTGTCTCAATACGAAGTTATTTGTAGCTCCTACTAAAAACAATAGTTTAAATCACAAAAATAAGCCAGTCCTGTAGGAACTGAAATCTCTGAACAAAAGTGTGTATCTCTTGTGCATGATAAGGCATGTGCTGGAAGGAGTACAGCTTCAAAAACAAAAGAGCAGCGTGCTCTAAATGTAATGTGTTTCATTAAGGATAAAATCAGTCTGGTATTAAATTCATCAAAGATGTTATTTTTTGATTTATACTACAGATGTGTCACCATATATTTACAGGCAGACAGACAGACAGACACAAATACGCATTCACATAACCATACCCATCACCTCCTAGCCAGACACAAATTGGAACTAATGAACAAACCCCTTCCAGAAAACATGGGTATCCCAGGGTACAGCAACACTGTCACAGAATGCAGCAATAGCCTACACAATATAATTATTCCTGTGAATTTTGCTATGCTTTCTACACCAAAAACATGTCTATGACCTCACCTGATCACTGCCTAATCCATCTGCAGTGGAGATACACTGATTGCAAGCAAACCTTTTAATAGCACATCAGCCTGTTTGGCCCAAATCCTGCTGCAGAGATGTGGCAGATCAGTTGGCAGACAGGACAAGCACCCATCAAAAGGAAGATCAGGAGCCCAAAGCCACGTAAGACTCTGCCCCTTGGCAAGGAGGAAATGGAGCTGGTGTAAAAAACCAGTCAGCCAAGGGACTGATCAAAATAGCCCCTTGCACAGACCAGAAAAGTGGCACCTTGGTTTTGAATTTGCAAAGCAATCAGAAATGCTAGTTTCAGAAGCCATCTGTGAGAGCTTGTATCCTCTCCAGGAAAAAAAGAGCTAATAAGGAAACCATCAGTTCAAAGAGACTGGATTTCAGAGGCTGCCTAAATGTGCAGTATCAGTCTTTTTAATGCCATGTTCATTGCTGGAATGGAACCTGACTTGGGCAAACTATGTATAAGGGAAAAACATCCATCACCAAAAGCAGCCTTCAAACCCAGCCCAAAATAGAAAGATTTTTGACATGACAGACAAGTCTGACTTGTCTAAACTTAGTTAGTTTTTGAGTGTATATATATAGGCATAGTATCTATACAAAATCTATTCTTGTCACTCCATGGCCTATTTGACATTAGGCAATTAGACTTTAATGAGGCAGCAGACAGAAAGCAAAACAAAACACATAAGCAAATTAGACTATATATGACTCCACCTTTCATTAACTTTAACTGTGCTGTACACCAGAGGAATTCCAGGTGGATATTAAGTTGTTTCTATACGAATTAGGAACTTCTGCAGGATAGAAGCTGCCTTGTACTCTTATACAATGCAGTCACGTTCAACAGTCGGACCCACTGATGCTGGACATGTACTTTACTCAGCTGAACTCAGCTCATGGCCTCCAAGATGCTAGCTCATGGAACACTGGGGATGACTATCTCTGTTCACGGTTTCTGCAGTTTACTGCTCCCTTTGCAGACACTACCATCTAGTAGTGGTTCCTGCCCCATTTTGTGGGCTGGTAGTGATATTTCTCTGTGGGACCTCTGCTCTTCCTGTTCAACCCATCTGATTACTGGAATCAGAGACATGAAACCCAGAAGTTTCATCAGCTCATTCCAGCCCAGTGTGCTGTAGATATGTCCCCTCTGCAGGGGATGCACAAGTCATCACATGTACCAAGAAACAAAGTGTGATAGTCAGAGATGGATTTACAGGTCCTGGGGTGCTAAGCATTAAACAACCTGTGCTTTGTTATTTAAGAGGTTTCAGTAGCACAACCCAGTAGGTATCTGCTGGTCTAGATCCAGTGAAAAGAGCTGTGAAAGCTGAGTGCTTTTTAGAAAATTGCTGTCTTTTCTTAAAAAAAAAAAAAAAAGTGGCCTGTTGAGTGTGGAACTATGTTGCTACATGTGTCATCCTCAGCTGTGGTCTGAATCTGAAACCATGAGAGATACTGAGTTGGAGTATCCCCCCCCCAAGTTTCTAAAGACCAAATGCTAAAAATGAAGGCAGCATTCTCTGTTTTAAACCTGTTCTAAATATGGCTTCAACAGTCCTAACAAAGTGCTGCTTGGACAGCACTGAAGATGTTCAGTTGACAGTCACTTCTCATTTGCTACAGAGGACAGATAAAATCCTGGCTTTTTGTTATGTGCTTTTATAGAATCTGCATGCTGATGCTCAGACAGAGAGAAGACAGTGCCTTCAGGACAACTGCTGCACACCAAAAATAAGGTATGTTATGCAGCTTTTATTCTGTTCTTTGTTTTTGTGAAATATTTAAGCTACAAAATCACATGATTTCCTTCTCCCAGAAGCCTCTTTTTTGGCCTATTAATAGCATGAAGTTGAAACTGGAAAGCATCAATGGGATTTTTTAGAAGTCATATTTAGAGACAAGAATGCTATGATCTACTAAAAATCCTCCCTCTTGGGTGAAATGTCAGCATATTTTATCTAAAACAGGAAAGTTGGTAGCTTTGAAGTTTCTGTCTCTCCTTTTTAAGATGAAAATTAAGGCATTCATTAAATAGTAGACCGAGGAATCCAGACAAGAAGACTCTGAGAAATGGATTTATAAGAAGCATTTCTTAAAATTTGGTGGATCTATTTGCCAATCTGTCACAGTTACATATATTTATATACCCACTGCAAATACAATAGGCAAATGGGCAGGCACGTATCAGGGGACTGCATGCAAACATTTTGCTGTCCAGAAAACATCTGCTCTCCTGCCAGATGACTGGCATAGTGCTGGGGCAGAGTGTGGGGGTGCAATAATCCCTCGTCTGCTTTGAGCCAAGCTTTCCCAGGGCATTTGCATCAGAAACAGGAGGAAGGCTTTGGCACACATGATGAGACTGAAGGTGGGTAGGGTGCCATAGGGAAGTTGTGGTAAATCTGCACTGGGTGCTTGGTCACAGCTCCTGGGTAGGAGACAGTCCAGCTGAGGCAGTCAGCATCAAGGCAGTCCAGCCAGATGCAAACCAGAGCCAGATGTGGCTTGGAAACAAAGACCCTTCGCTGCCATCTGTCCTCCACAGCTATGAAACCTGGGTTGTGCTTCCTGAAAAAATCTTGCAAAATCTTACCCCAGGAAGAATAGGTGTTTCTCAAATCTGCTAAAAGGAGAATGCTTGCTAGCCCCAAAATAACTAGCTGTATGAGTTATTCCTGCTTAACAATGCTGTGTATTTGCTACATTCTGCAAATAAAATGGCCATGAACTAGTATTTCAGCATTGCTCTTCCTTCATTGTCTGTTACAAGCTTTAACTCTCTATGGCATCTCAAAGCTTCTTTATGCTCCAGAGTTGTGCTCTATGATTAGATATTGTCAGAATGACAGAGGGTTCCAAGAGTGGCTATTGTAAAAATACATGTATCTTTAAAGCTCATTCCAATACTGGAATGTGAATATGCTGTACTTTCAGAAGGCACCACTTCACTGGTACAATAGCAGCTATGCTAAGTACATTTTGGTATAAGTATGCCTTCATTTACTGCAAGAGTACATTTTCTTCAGGGCTATATCCTTCAGCAGAAATTAGATCTTGTCATTAAAAAGGCTCTCTGTTGCTGAAGTGGAAGGGGCACCAGCTTGCGATGCTTTAAGTCACCACTGCTCTCAGGTGATTTGGTTTCCTTGCACATAAGTGAGATTGCAGAAATATCTGTGGCTCCATATTTATTTTGTTGAAGTGTAGGGAAAGCAAAGTGAGTTCTGAACCATGCAAAAAGGGGAAAAAAACAGGTTATGGTTCTGTGAACAGATCATGGCAAGGACAGAAATAAGTAAACAGATGTTGGATAGGACAGGAAGAAATCATGCCAAATGTTTGAATGCAGTAGAGACTGTGATGGCCATAAATCTGTTACACAGCTCCCTTTTATTCTATTTATTCCAGTTTCAAGCCTCAGGACAGTAAAGCCCAAGGGCTTTAAGTTGTTTACATTTAATGCTGGGAAGGAAACAATGCATAGCCCCTCAAAAGCACATAGCAGAATTAATACTGCATTGCAAAGAAAATTTTTACTTCCAATGCTGTGTTTTATTTTAATATTGCATCAAAAGTTTAAGTACTGGGGGACACATTCTATTATAACAAGTGAATATTTTTAGCAGCATTTTTATATGCCATTATGCCCATTACATGCCACCTCTGGACACCCTGCTTGTGGAAGGTGATTAATTCTAACCATCATTCTTGCTGACTTCAGACCTACTTCCATAAACATTGCTCACAAAGAACAACACATTTCCAGTCCCACATGTAGTGTGGCACAGGTTAAGACTCATTTGCCAGACTTGCCATTTGACTCCATGGCAGTATAAAAGTCAGTTGCTGCTGTGCTGCTATCTTTTCAGGTAGTTTCTTCAAGCAGGGTTTGGTTGAGTTTTGGGGTTTTTTTGTGTTTACATGTGTTTAGAGAAGCAATCATTACTATCTCTCCTTGAGAGCAGTGCTTGGTAAAGTGGAACATTCCTCTGGCTCCTGAGTAATTTTCAAGGAAGCTGATAATCCTGAGGAGAAATGAAGGTCAAAAGTTCTCCCAAGAGAGCCAGCCTCTCCAGTGAAATGTGCCTGCTCTTGAGAAACACTACTGGATGTGCCCTGTTCAGGGTTATGATGCTCTTGTGTGCCATGAAAAGTGATAAATAATGATCCCTGGTGTAATTCTACTGGAATCAGAAGTGCTACATTGAAGACACTTCTAGTGAAATCTGCCAAACTGAAGTTTTGTGAAAAGTCTTTGGGTTCTGATGCTTGAAGATCACTAGATATTA